AAAAAAAAAAAAAAAATGGAATCATTTCAAGTTTCTTTTCACATCACAAGGGATTAAAACTAGAAATCAATAACAAGCAAAACTTTGGAAACTATACCAATACATGAAAATTAAACAACATACTCCTGAATGACCTATGGGTCAAAGAAGAAATTAAACAGGAAATACAGGGTCTCCTATAGATGCTAAAATTCCAACATATCTCAAGTGGAACTCACATTCTTTCCCACCAAACCTGTTCAGTTTTATTATTCACTTAACAGCATCAACTTCTACAGAGTCACTCAAACTAGGAAAACTTGAAAGGTAAACTCTTGAGGTTCCTCACCCTGCCTTCAGTATGTCACTGAGTCTTGCCACCTCTTCCTCTGAGCTTCTCTCATATCTCACCCCTCTTTCCTATTCCCTGAATCACTGAAATAGCACTCCCAACTGAACCTTTGGATATGGTCTTGATTCCACTCCAAGGTACCCTCTATACATTGCTAGAATCATCTGTACAATGTCACGGCCCATGAACACCATACAGTGCACACCACCTATGACTCCCAGAATGAAGTCCAAGGTCTGAGACCTGGCACACTATTCCCTTCACAGTCTGATCTTACCTACCTTTCTGGTCTCACCTCTTACCACCCCCAATCCCATCACCTTGCTCTAGCCCCACCTGACATCACATACTTCCTGAACACACCTTACATTTTCACATCCTGACCATTCTGTTCCCGGAGTATCTTCCTGTTTTGCTCACATCTCAGCAAAAGCTCAACCATCATCTCCTGTCTGAAACTTTCCCTACCCTTGACTCCCTGTGATTAATTGTTGTCTTATCTATGTTCTCAGAGCACTTGATCTATACCCCAGTTCACAACTCTTCCTTGGCATCCCACTGCACATCGAATAACATCTAAATTCTTTATCTACCTACCTACATGGGACCCTTGCCTACCTGTCCAACCCGATCACATTCCCCTTCCCCTTTCATGCACACAGAGAAAAAGCAACCCTCCATATGATCCAAAGCAGAGGAAAAACCCAGAGTTACCTTATATACTCCAAAGGTCAATGTGTAATCTAAAGCCATGCATTATAATTCTATGTCTTTCTTAAACTATTATTGAAAGTAGTATTATTTCTGGACTGTCTACCAACTCAGCAATTAGGAGCATATAGAATAGTAATGATATACTTGTTGCCTTAATTAAGCTTTTACTGTTACCAGGCAGAGCACTAAATGCTTCACATGCATTATTTCATTTAATGCTCAAATCAGCCCTCTGAGGTAGGTAGCATTATTCTCCATTTTTAAAAGAGGACACTGAAATTAGCAAGGTTATAAGACTTGTCTAAGGCCACACTGTAGTAACAGGCAAAGTCATTTGTCTGTGTCTTTGTCATTCCAGAGCTTGTGTTCTGATCATTATGCTACACAGTCTCCATAGAACAGCTGCTAAGGGAATACCAGGGTTAAGTCCACAGCTAACCTACCAGGAAGATAATCTACAAAGCACTAAATTAAATTTCTTAGAAATTACCTGAATTGGCATGAAAGTTTTAAATCTGCAAACAAGACCAGTACTTTAAAATTTTTTAGACTGCAGGAAAGGTTAGACTTCCACTCCATTTTCAAAGAATTATTGAAACTCAGAGGGGAAACTCTAATAAAGATGAAATAAAAGGTCAAATAGATTCCAGAAAGAACCCCTTTTCTAGGACAAATGGCATGCTGGGAGTTTTGCTGTGGGTTCTAGGAATTTAACTCAGGATACCAACAGAAATTCATATGTAAAATGCACTACAGGCAACATTTTTGAAGGCTTATTCACTGTTTGCTGACCAATGCTATCAGACAACTGCTTCTGGAGTGGACACAAGGCATGCTGCTTGCAGAATGTCTTGGCTTCATTTAGGAGAAAGGGGAGATTGAAGAGCAGATATAAACCTCCTGTGACCAACAATTCCAAACAGATGTCCACCATCCACACCTAGCAGATGGAAACACATCTTTGTTTTTGTAGTCTTACCTAGAAAGCCCTCTGGCCGCAAACTTTCCAGAACTCAGATTCCAAGATAGATCTTAGTCCATTGTAAGCTGAGACTTTA